ATCTTGACGTCATTGAATATGTGACGGTCAGCGCCACTGTCGACAATCAGTTCATCGTTGGGTCTTGATCCATTAGCCATCTTCTTCATCATAGCTGAGTATGATTCATCATTTTGATCTTCAGGAATTGATGTTGAGACTTGGTTTGCTCCTATGGGTTGTCTCTTTGCCATGAATAAACCGTAGGCCTGGATCTTCTCATTGTCTGATACACCAGATGAATTGGGTTGGGGTTGGCTGACAGCATTGTTTGTAACCAAAGCTGCATTTGCATTCGCACCCGGTGCAGATCTGCTACAATTCATCGGTCTGGATTGTGTCTGAACATTTGGAGGATTAAGGTGAGGGTGTTGCGTTTGACATTGAGCATTAGTATGTTGACTGAAGCCTTGAGTGTGTATGAAGCATTTGTCATTGGGAGCACGGCTGGCGTTCGGATTGGGGTACTGACAATTCTTTTGCACATTTTGATTCGATGCTGGGGTGGTAGATGTTTGTGCGGACAAGGCCACTGAGCTTCCACCTACAACAGTTGCCGATGTGACCCGCCTTAGCTGTTCTTCGTGTATCAGACGTTGGAATACGATTGAAGGAGTCGGAGTATCCACATTTGTAAGTAGTTGTTGTATTATACTACTGAATGTTTCGACTGGAAGGTTGATCAAGATGAATATTGAGAGTAGTTGATCCAAAAGTTTGAGGTTCACGTTTTTAGCTGCTAAGGCCGCTAGTTGTTTGTGAAGTCCTTCCATTAGATTGATATACTTGTTCAATCCTTCTGACTGGTCATACTTCGTAGTGACTATCTCAGTGATTACAGTCGCAGTCCCAATACCCAAAGAACCTCCATGCCAAGCTTCCAATTTGACCATTGCCTCGTGAGGATCAGTGATACCAGATATGTGAGATTTGTCAGATACCTCGAGCGAAGCACGTACTGCTTTCATTGCTTGAGCTCGCAGCATTAAGAATAGGTTGGCTTCAGATGGGTCGGAGGGCTGGATAATAGTATTTCTGAGAAAATATCCTAGTCCACAAGCATCAAGTAATCCGTAAAATTCATCCTTCCACAAAATCTGAGTTGTGTTTGATAGTTTGGTGAGATTTTGTAGTGCGGCATTGCTGATAGCAGGAGTATTTGCACGTGGCACAATGAATGCTGTTGTCGATGAAGTTGATGAACTCATGGTAACAGCATTGTTGGGATTGATTGGACGGAGACTTTCTATTATTTGAGAAGATTGACCAATAGTAGCACTCAATGATTCGCTATTGGAATTGGATGTTGATTTGTTGTCCGTAGTGTTTAATGGATCTTCGGAATCGGATGACATCTAAATTTGCCTATAAGCAGTCAGAGAGCACTGGGCTCATAACCTGTTGACCATAGGTCTAATAGAATCAACTTAGTTAGATACTGAATGATATGAAAGAAAGAGAAATAGAGTTCTGGATCTAGATGAGTTGATCCAATAGTTTGGGATGAAGTGAAAAATAGAACTTGTGCCCAAACATCTGATGGCGTGAAGAGTACATATTTATATAGTAACTATTATAAAGATAATTTGAGATGATATGTTTATACTGGAAAGAGTAACTTGTGTGTATGTGGAGCTACATATAACAACAGTATTCAAGAGGTATAGCACATTTAACTTCAGAACAGAAGCTCCAGCCACTTTAGACCTTGAGTTGGATGCATATTTGAAAAGCAAGCACCCTTGCGACCCAGCAATCAAACATCTAACTTGGTGGGAGGTAGGGGTTTTTTCTGAAATACGGAATGCGACATGTGCCAAAGTGACAACTTGAAATTTCAAAAATCAAAATTTCAGAATCCCCGGGTCAGAAACTGACAAAACTGGATTAAACACCAGATTCATCTCAAATACTGGACTGAAACCCCCCGTATTTGGGATGAAACCATATACTTTCTGCCAGTTTTTAGCAGTTTCCAAACCACAACCCCAAATTTGACCGCTGAGTTGGCACTTTGGCACAAATAATACACAAAAATTTCAAAGATGAAGTTTCAACATTACAAAATTCAGACCAGTATTTGGGTTGAATCTGATGTTTAATCAGGTTTTGTCAATTTCTGACCCAGGGATTCTGAAATTTCACTTCTTGAAATTTGATTTGTCACTTTGACACACCTCGCATTCCGTACTGAAACTTCCATATTGATTCCTTCTCCCAAACGATTGCTAATTTACACATTCAAACTACACACAGGGCCACCATCAAGACTTCCCTCGTTTGGCAGTCCTTGCCAGAGATTACCTAGCGCGTGTTGGCACATCCTGCTGTGTGGAAAGAACTTTCCCATCAGCGGGTGATGTGTGTTCTCAGGATCGTAGTGGCCTCCTTTCTCAGACAATTGAGCAGGCAGTGGGTCTGCGCCAGTGGATGAAGGAGGGTTGGTACCCTCCTGGGGAGGTCGAAGAGATGTTTTTATTGATACAAAGACTTCAGTCCAAAAGCAAGGGGAAGGGTAAAGAGAAATGTTGAAGCTAAAAATGTTTCACTCCCTGCACCGTTGATTTTTTATACTATTTCCTCCTCTTTTCTCAGCTTGAATGTTATCTTGTCTCATTTATTATGTAGTTGAGATTGTTTCTATTTTTGTTTCTTTTTTGAACGTTTCTATCCATTTTACTCCTCTTGTAGTATCTTAGTAATGACAAACATTTGCCACTCAAATGCGCGCAGCGCGCGAAAAAACTTGCGCTTAACAGGTGCATTTTGCTGCATTGTATTGCAACTGTCAGCCGCACAATAGGTCTCCCCCAGATGAGATTGTGGTCACAACACAGCAAAATGGCAGCCAGGATATCGGAGTGCGCAACACAACACAAAAAGGTGCCTATTGAGGTGTGTTGCGTTGCGCTCCCGCGTTGTCCCTACTTCATCTCTCACATGTTTTGACAAGTCA